TTCTTAATTCGCGGCCAGTAGTATCCATGCAAGATGATGGTGCGCTCCATGCTGCGTGGCCCGGCATGCATCGCGCACAGTCCGTCATGAAGCTCGCGCACTAAGTTGTGCGCCTCCTCTTGCCCAATGCACTTGAGGTAGACGCCCGAGTACGACCTTCGGTATAACTCTCCCTCAATGAGTGTGCAACGGGCCGCCTTTTGCCTTAGAGTCCAAGCTTGCTTAGGGTCTTCTGGCACTGTTCCATCTTGGAGGTACTTCACAATCGGGTGCCTCCAGTCTTCGTTTGGCATGAGCTGGGTTGTGTTAATGGCCACCTCTGAGGAGGCTTCTTCTTCTTTTTGGACGGACACAAGGCGCGTGGACTCGAAGTCGGTAGCCGTTGCCAGCTTAGATAGCGCGTCGGCGTGCGCATTCTCTTCTCTTGGTATCTGCGCATACGTTACTGCCTCGAATGTCGTGGCTTTCAGCTTAACTCGCTCCATGTAGTGTGCCAGTGCGTCTTCCTTTGCATCAAACGCGCCGTTCAGCTGATTGACCGCCAGGGAGGAGTCGGAGAGGATCCGTATCGTTCTCGCTCCCAAGTCGTGAGCAGCCGTCATCCCCGCCAAGATGGCCTCATATTCCGCGGCATTGTTTGTTTTCAGCGCCCGGAACCTGATTGCGATTTCGTGCACCGCGCCAGCAGGCGTGCGCACCACAACTCCTGCTCCGGCGCCATGCTTGCTCGCCGCTCCATCAACGTAGACTTCCCACACGCCTTCTGGTGTTGTTTCGAGGGTCACCCCTTCTGCGATGAAGTCCGCTAGGATCTGGGCCTTTATTGCCGGTCTTGGCGCGTATTGGATATCGTATTCCGACAGCTCGACCGCCCACTTGACCATGCGTCCTGACACTTCCATCGAAGTTAGTATCTTTTTTAGTGGGAGGTTTGTCAGGACGGTGATTTGATGCGCTTGGAAGTACGGGCGCAGTTTCTGGGAGGCGCTTACTAGTGCCAAGGCGGCCTTTTCGATCGAGGAGTATCTTGTTTCTGCGCTGACTAGAGTGCGCGAGGTGTAATACACCGGTTGCTCGGTTTTGCCATCTCTTCTAGATATCAGTACTGCGCTCACAGCCCTTGCTGACACAGCGAGATACAGAAAAAGTTTTTCATTGAGTTTGGGGGCAGTCAGTACAGGGGGGATACAAGATACGCCTTTAGCTCTTGGAACGCTGCTTCGCATTCTGTCGTCCATGCAAAGCGTGTCCCGTTCTTGAGTGTTTGGAAGAAAGGCGCACACTTGTCGGCGGATCTTGGTATAAATCTCCCCAGTGCCGCTATTTTGCCATTCAAAGATTGGATTTCCAATGCATTCCGAGGCGCCCGCAGTTGTTGGACCGCGGTGATTTGCTTTGGGTCGACCTCTATGCCGCGCCTGGTTATCATGAACCCAAGAAATTTCCCCGCTTCCGCTCCAAAAACGCACTTGAGTGGGTTGAGGCGGAGGCTGTGCTTGCGGAGGGCTTCGAAAGTCTCGCGCAGGTCCTCCAGGTGTGACCTCCCCGGCTTCGTTTTGACGATGAGGTCGTCCACATATGCCTCGATGTTTCGCCCGATCTGTCGCGAGAAGACAGCATCGATCATTCTCTGGTATGTCGCGCCCGCGTTCTTTAATCCGAATGGCATCCCTACGAAGCAAAAGTTCCCGAACGGTGTCATGAACGCCGTTTTTTCCTCGTCTTCCACGGACATCGGGATTTGGTGGTATCCTGAGAACATGTCTAGGAAAGACAATGTCTCATGGTCAGCAGTGGCGTCGATCAGCTGGTCGATGCGCGGTAGGGGATAAGGGTCTCCCGGGCATACTTTGTTGATCGTGGTGTAGTCGACGCACATCCGCCAAGCTCCTGATGATTTCTTGACTAAGACCACGTTTGCCAGCCACTTTGGGTATTTCACAGGTCGGATCAGTCCGGCAGCCAGTAGGCGCGACACCTCTTCTTCTATCGCCTTCAGTTTATCGCCCGTGAAGGATCTCCGCCCTTGTTGTCTAGGTTCTGCGTTGGCTGGGACGGCCAGGCTGTGCTGGGCTACCTCCCTGGGCACTCCCGGCATGTCTTCTGTGCACCACGCGAACAGCTCCTTGTACTCCTTCAACAGGGTCATGAGTGGGTCGATCGCGTCGCTGTCGACGTGAGTGGAGATGCGTATCTTCCTGGTTGGCTCGGCGGGATCCAGCGCGACCTCGAAATCGGAATCCATGGACTCAGGTCGGGGTTCTTCTGCCCTTGTGTCGACGATGTTAGTTTGTCGCGCCACGACGCGGTCTTCCCAGGTTGTTCCTCGTGCTTCCCCAACCCCCCTTAGCGTTGGGAACTTGAGTTTCTGGTGGCACGTCGATGGGAGGGCCATGAACTTCGCGAGGAAGGGCCGGCCAAGGATGCCATTGTGCGCTGACTCACAATCGACGATCGTGAACTCCACTTGTTTGGAGACGCGTGGTTCCTGGTCGCCAATCACCACAGGCAGGGTGACCACTCCGCTCACCGGAACTCTGGTTCCGGAGAAACCAACCAAGTTGCCTTGCGCGCGCCGGATCAGGCGCGGGTCGATACCCATTTTGTTCACGGTACTCTGGAAGAGGATGTCGGCCGCGCTTCCCCCATCTATCAGGAGGCGGTGTGTCTTGCAGGCGGCAATCAACGCGGTGACGATGAGTGGCTCTTCTGACGGAACTCCTTGTGGGAATTCCGCGTCATCAAAGCTCAGCTCGAACTTGGTCGGCGCGTTGACGGCCGCGCACTCTGTCGCGTGCTCGCGCTTGGTTTTCTTCTTGGGACGATCCCCCTCAACTGTCACCACCCCGATCTCTTTGCGCACCACATACGCGCCTGTGTCATCGTCGTAATCGGCTTGTGGTGGGGGTGGCGGCGGGAGCTGTGGAGCCTCAACTTGCTCTTTTTTTACATGGAGAAATTCGGCGAGCAACCCCCGGCGCACGAGTCCCTCTATTTCGTACCTTAGATCGCGGCATTCTTCCGTCTGGTGTCCCGTTGCTCTGTGGAACTCACAATGCTTATTTGGATCGCGCATGTAAGGTTGGGATTTCAACGGAGCAGGCCAATTGAGCTTGTAGCCTTTCTCGCGGAGGACGTGGAACACATTCCTCACGGAATCATTAAGGGGGGTGTAGGCATTGGGCGCGCGTCTGTCTGGCGATCGCCCGCGGTGCGCGTGCTCTGGCGGAGGAGGCGGAGCGCGCTTTGGGCCACTGTGCATCTGTAGCAATTGGTCTCGTGGGATCGGGACTGGGGGCTGACGACGCGCCTGTTCTTCTAACGGCGCCCTCGCTGGCTCGAAGCGCCTGACGGATCCTGCCCCTAGGGTTTCTTCCAAGGTGATTGCCTTTTCGATTTTCATTTCCAACTCCGTGGACAGCGTGACGGGCCTTTTGGCCAGCGCTCGCTTGAGCTCCATATTGTTGGTGGCCTCCATGAGGTGATGGGCGGCCGTTTCGGGGGTAAGGTCGCGGACAGCCATTGCTACCCTGGACCATCTGGCGTAGAAAGCTCTCAGGCTTTCTCCATCCTTCTGCCTGATATCTATCAGGGCCTTGAGGTGAAGGGGGCGCCGTTTCTGGGACGCGAATTTGGTCGTGAACAGGAGTATGAACTCCTCGAATGAGCGGATGATTCCGTTCGGGAGGCGGTTGTACCAATCGAGGCATATGCCGGTGAACGTCGATGGGAAGGTTCTGCACAGGGCGGCATTGGAGTTGGTTTGGAGTTGCATGCGCAAGCAGAAGGTGCTTACGTGGTCTTCCGGGTCGGTTGTGCCGTTGTATGTCGGGAGGGTAGGGGGCGCTCCTGATAGATTTTCCGCCATTATTTGCGCGCTCAGTGGCTGGTGGAGGATCCTTTTGGGGGGGTTGGGTCGATATTGCGGGGACAGGTGTTGCTCTAAGAAGCTGAGGTCCGCCCGCCCTGGTGGATCGATTTCTGGCGCGTCGCATGCGGGGAGTTCCGTTGCAGCGCGTTGGGGTAGTTGGGCTGTCCCCGACGTTTCCCCCAAGGCTTGTTGAGGCGCAACCGCCAAAGCTTGTTGTGGCGCGGCTGTTGTCGCGCTCATCACTGGCGCGCCCTCCCTGCTCATCATGAGCGCGACGACTTGGCTCATTTGTTTCTGCATGCCAGCTATGACGCTGTTTTGCTTTGTCAGCAGCTCCCTCATTTCTTTGGCCGTCAGTTCGGGCTCCTCTTCTTCAATGAGCACAGCGTTGAGGTTGCTGGCTTCCGCGAACGCCCTCGGGTCAGTCATTGCCTTGATCGGCGTCGCTTGGTCAGGTTGGTCGTGGTTGTGCTCTGCCATCGGTGGATTTTCTTCAGCGTTTCTTCTTGGCCCCACGGTGGGCGCCAATTGTTTGAACCTAACTGAGTGTAGGAGTGAGGTTCTGGTAAGAGTTTGGGTCAAGAAGAAACACGAGCGTCGGTTCGATTAGAGGGAGAAGGGAGAGTCAAGTGAGAGTGGGTTTGCTAACTCTTAGAGAGAGAAGTAGTTGTTATAGAGCGAGAATGGCTAAAATCCGATCCCCTTCACCCACCGTAGTAAATGCCATATTTATAGGCTTCATGGTGGTGGGTGAGTGGTTGACACAAGTGGGGATACAATGATGTGACTATTGGGATACACTGATGTGACCCATGATGTGACTACTAGCATACTAAGGACTTCTAGGCCATCTCTCTACCTAGGATGGGTCAGAGATCCACTCATGACCCTGACGTGACCACTCGCTGAGGAGGAGTGCGCTTCTCTCCTCTTCTGATTTGGTCCACGCTTGTCCTCTCCTAGCGCATGTAGTGGCGCTTAAGCTCTTCGCGCCCAGACGTGGTTAGCCACGATGAGGCGGCACACTCGGGGTCCTCGCGCCGCCGCGTCGGGATCTACTTAGCTACGCCCTGTTCCTTGGCGTGATTAGGCCCGAGTCTTATCCCCAACAGCGACCCTTTGCCTAGCGATGTTGTCTATGGTTGTTTACGGATCATGGAAGAAGAAAGCGTGGCGATTCCATGGCAGAAAGGGGATGTCCTCTTGATAGACAATTGGGCAGTTCTTCATGCTAGAAAAAGCTTTTCACTCCACCTCGTCGGATTTTGGCGGCACTCTGCAAGTAGTGAAATATATTTAATTACTTCGATCATGTTTTTTTTTTTTGTAACGATTTGCAGCCTTAATTGTTCGTGTGGATTCCTTGTGATTTCCTCTACTTTTCTATTATATATGAATTTCTGATATTGGCATGTGGTGAAGTATTTTTCCTAAAATTTTTGCGGTTTATTAAGGATTAATACAATAATATAGTCATATTTTTTAGTTTATTATAAAAAAATTCAAATGAAATGCGAAAAATCAACCAAATTTTAGCTTACCATGCAGGGGCGGATCCAAGTGCATAATGGGTTTGTCAATTGACAAACCTAAAATCAAATTTTTTGGACAAGAATCTTGTGCAAATTTGTATTTTATTGACGGTAGTATTTGAATTTGAGACTATTTGACAACCCTTAGAAATTTTGATCTATCATTGAATACTCTTAGTGAAATTTCTGGGTCCACCACTGTTACCGTATGTCTTCCGTTAGTGATGCTAACATGACATCTAAGATGTGTAATGGGATACTAAAATGGAAGCTAAGGAAGCTAAGGAGAAAGATTGATACATTGTGACATATGCTTAAAAGTTATACATGTATGATATGACAATCCAATTTTCGTATGATGAAACATAAGAGCAAACACTCTGTCACAAACAAGAGAAAGAATGGAACGAGTGATGAAGCCTATCATGTAAGAGATGAAGATTCACAAATGGTCATAGTTCCATTCGCAAATAAAAGAAATTTTATAGGTGGAAACATACAAGTAGATACTAGAGATAGTTGAGGTAAAATGAATAGAATAGAAGTCGTAGACGGAGAAACACAAGTAAATATTAGAGATAGTCGAAGTAAACTGGACTCATACTATTACCGTGGTAGGACATCGCTCAAGAACATCCATCCGCTTTTGGTCCAAAGTGACCCAAGCCTCAATGCTTCCTCTCCCGTCCATCGAGTCCACAAACACCGTCAAAGTTCCGGAAAGCCCGGCCCACTTTCCCCATCACCGTCACCCAAACCGGTTTCTCCCCTACCCGAAATTCAGACCCGTGAACCCGAACCCACATCAACTCGTAAACGCGAATATATCCGGCTTCTCTGCTTCAAACATCCCTTCGAGCTGCTCGAAGAAACCCGACATCGCCTCAAACCCGTCCTCTCCATGGAGCGACTCCACGTAATCGCTCTTATACAGCTCGATCGCTTCGCTCAGCAGATTCCCCAGCTCGTACATCTCCGTGTTGGAATCGTCGTACGGGTTCGCAGCAGCCGTCGCCCACCAGAACGCGTTTGCAATCGCCGCGTCCGGCATCGGAGGGTTGGCAAACTTCCGGAGATTCACCGCCTCCACAAGAATCGAAGTCTTCGCTGCGGAAGAAACCGCCTTGGACGCCGCCATACAGCATTTCAAGATGAAACAGGACAGTGCCTCCACTCTCGACAGCCTGATAACTGATTTCCCCTGTGGCTCCCTGGCGGCCATGGCTTGCAGCATAACGATTGCCTTGGAATCGAACACGAATCTCCTGGTTACGTAATTTTCTTTAGTGAACCAGAGGGTTTCCAATTTTCAGGGGAAGGGTCCATCGGCGGGAAGACCTTCGATGCCTGGGCGAAATCAGGGGAAATGATGTCATTTGGTTGGCCACGGAGAAGGGGCAGTGAACCCGTTTAATTTTATTGACAATTCTTTGATCGAGATGATACATAAAGAAAGAATAAAAATGTATCATTGATCTCATTTTCATAATGATAATTAAATCTCCGGTAAAATGTTATTGGTTAGTTGATTGTCAAAAAAGATAGAGTATAAAAGCTCACTTAAATTCCCTCACAAACCATAGATAGTTTGAAACTAAATCTAAAACCTCGCAATCCTACATAAATGCTCAATGCTCTCCTTTTAGGAACAATATCCTAACAACTCAGCTAAGAGGGGACCATCACAACTTGGGAGCAAGCGAAAAAATTAGGGTTACCTCCAATATACTAATAGACTCGATCAAAGTAATAATGAACAAAATTAGACACTCCTTCTCTATCAGTTCCAGTAGGTTGAATAAAGAATCGATCGACCTACTTCAGTAAATCAATCAATGATTCCTCGTTTTAAGATAGAATTAGGTTGCGATAGCTTCAAAAAAACATAAACCTAAAGATATAATAGTCACCACTCTCTGTTTAATAAAAAAATTATCCACTCTATCTTCAATCTCAAGAGGCATATGTGTCAATCAATAATTCAATTTTTAATCCTCTTTCTGCACCATCATTCATTGAACTCCACTCTATTCTCCATGGATTAATATCATAGTTAAAATCTTTTACTTGCCCAGTTTAAATCACCAAGAATAAAATCATAGTGTCAAGAGATCGAAAGATTGATTTTCAAAGGCGGCCTTGTATTGTAAAGTGAAAGGGGCGCAAACTATTACTGATGGAGGGAATTTCAGAGGAAGTTAGAAAGAGATAAGAACAAAGATAAAAAGTACAAATTTAAATATAAATTGAAAAAATGCAAGGACACAACATTTAGTCATAGAATTAGTTTCTTCCATGTTGGCCAATTACCAATTTACCTTTAGCAAAAATTAAGAAGAGAGCAGTGATATTAGAATTGAGAAACTATATGAAACTCTTATATGAAAATTGCAGTATCAAGCACCATAAAAATACATATGTTAGACTTACTGGGCTTGCTATTCATGATGAAAAAGTTCTCTGATTTTCAGAGTGTCATTTCGTGTATGTTTTGGATTAAAAAAAAATACAAAAAGTTCTTTGTTTAGTGTAATCGGTTGCAATTGTTATCTTTGATTGAAGAGACTTGGGTTCAAATCTTGATATTGACATTTTTTATATGGAATAAATAATTAATTATAAAGGCAAAAATGTTTTTCTTACTTCCACTATGGTTGTAGAAAATTTGAAATAGAGAAGACACAAGATCGAGGTTGTTAAACCCTTATCGAACCCCCGGTTGGACCCGATTCAACCCGAGTCGAGCTTCAAAACGACCTTCAGAAAGCCTCCCGGTCTGACCCTTAAATGTTTAAAACGGTTCAAACTAGCCGGACCCCGATTAGACCATCAAACCTCAAATTCCTTGTTTGACCGGCTTAATGACTTAAACCGGTTTGACAACCTTGCACGAGATCGAAGACGCAAGAAGATTAGAAGACAGAGACACACTCGTTCCCGTTCTCTCCGGTCGTCGCTAGTCGTCTCCCTCCCGTCTTCTCGTCGTTAGGTTATCTCTCTCAATTCTCTTCATCCTACCATGGTTCCGCTGATTTTTTTTAATCTCTCTCTCAATTCTCTTCATTCTATCATGGTTCCGCTGTTTTTTTTTTTGTAGAAAGGTTCCGCTGATTGAGTGGGTTGTACATGCAATCTTCTTTTTTTCTCGTTATCACTTGGCTCCGTTTACGAACGACTTAAGCTCCCTCACTAAGTAACACAGAATGAAGACAACACGATGAGGGCAAAACCCTAGAATTGGAGCTGTCTTAGTTACAACGAGCCTAGTGTATTGGGTGAGCAGTAGCCATAAGTAAATTAGTTGCACGTGATAACAGCTCTAGAGCTAGAGGATGGAGGGGGAAGATTTCTCGAAGAAAGTAGTGAGTGAAATTTGATAAATAACTAGTAAAGAAATAATCTTAAAATTTCTTTTTCTTAAAAGGTGAAGTAGTAAAAATATTTATTTTTCCGTCAAATAGATTATAAGCATCAATATCATCCATACTCCATTATTTTTATTATTATTAATCACGCAAAATATAAAAAAGAACAAAAATGTATTTTAGTTTTGCACATATCATATGTGTAAGTGTAAGTAATAATCTTAAAATTTAAGCATGATTAGGCTATGAAGAAAAGAATGGAGCCAATGTTATGGATGTTTGTCGTTTGGAGGATTTGAATTAGAAAGAAAACCTCTTCATGTGGGATCAGAAGGTGGAAGATTGCTCGAAGAAAGTAGTGAGTGAAATTTGATAAATAACTAGTAAAGAAATAATCTTAAAATTTGTTTTTCTTAAAAGGTGAAGTAGTAAACATTTTTTCCCCCGTCAAATGGATTATAGCATCAATATCATCCATACTCCATTATTGTTATTATTATTAATCACGCAAAATATAAAAAAGAACAAAAATGTATTTTGGTTTTGCACATATCATATGTGTAAGTAATATTTAAGCATGATTAGGCTATGAAGAAAAGAATGGAGCCAATGCTATGGATGTTTGTCGTTTGGAGGATTTGAATTAGAAAGAAAACCTCTTCATGTGGGATCAAAAGGTGGAAGATTTCTCGAAGAAAGTAGTGAGTGAAATTTGATAAATAACTAGTAAAGAAATAATCTTAAAATTTGATAAACCTCTTCATGTGGGATCTGAAACAAAACTGTTATGTGCTTTCTTCTGATCAGGGACAACACATCCTTTGGACCAATCGGTCGAAATGGGAATGAATGTTGAATTATATAGCGGAATGGATTAGCGTTCTGGTGTCTGCAATTTACAAGAGAAGTCAGGTAGAAGAGAGAACTCTTTCTTCTGTGAAGGTCATTTGCTTGCTGAGCTTCTCCTACTGAACTGGTATTGTTTTCTCATTCCGGTTTTGGGGTGTACAGAGATGTATTTCCTAAAACTCCTTTTCGTTTCAGTTTTTTTTCTATTTCTACTTCAGAGTCCGCTCAATCATGGCTGCTGTGGCTGGGGCACGCATAGGAGACCTACTGTCACTACTAAAATCAGTAGCGGGTAACGAGCTGACTGATTTGTCCGAAAATTTTGTCAATGCACATCAATGGATTGCCAGCCTCACCAACACTGTGGAGGTCATGAAAGCCAGTATCGTTGTTGCTCAGAAGAGGATGGTTGGTATAGATAACTTCCAGTTTCAGGAGAAAGGCCCGATGGACCTCTGGCTGGACAAGATGAAATCATGCTTGGAGGATATTGATGACGTCCTGGATGAGTGGGCAACGCATATTGCAGTCTTTGCCAAAATGGATCGACGAACTTGTTTGGGAGGCTGCTACTGTCAATTGGTCTCTATCTGCATCAAAGAGAGAGACCGTATGAAAGCTTCCAAGTGGCTGTACCATTTGTGTCGCTTATTTTTTCCATGTTGCAGTAAGAGTGACATGTTGAAGCGGCTATCTCTAGGTCAGAGGGTGAAGGATTTGACGGCTGAACTTGAGGCCATCAACAAAGAACGACAACTAAACAAAGTTCAGATTGCATGTGACCCGCTGGACCACTTTAGGCAATTGACGAGGCAGATGGACGGCAGTCAAATGAATTTTGCTAGGGTCAAAGGCAGAGGAGAGGAAAAAGAAGCTGTTGTGAACATGTTATTGAATGAGGCATCCCCTGATGATAATGTTGAAGTGATCTCCCTCTTGGGGTTGGGCGGCATTGGCAAGACGACAATAGCGAGAATGGCCTTTGCCGATCCACGAGTGGTTGATCGTTTCAAAGAGGAGAGATTCTGGATTTACCTATCTTACTCCTGTGATAACGATCTCAGTAAACGAGTCATGGAGTACATTAACGGTTCAGAAGTACAGTACAGATCCGTTGACATGAATGATTCTCTTGGTCAGATTTCAAAAAAGATTCAAGGTCGAAGGTTTCTTTTTGTCTTCGATAACGTGTGGGAAGGGGATGGAAATGACTGGACACAGCTGCTGGGCGCCTTAAGATTTGGCCTTCCCGAAAGCAAAATATTGGTCACTTCAAGGAATTGGACAACCGGCCATTTGGGGGCTGATTCCTGCAAGATTTTTCCAGTACCGGAGCTGCCTTTGGAAGACTGTTGGCAATTTTTCGTGATGCTACTCTACCAAAATGGAGTCGTGCTGATCATCAACAGGAGGGTTTTATCAGAGATAGAGTATTGGGATTGTGCAATGGTTTGCCGTTTATTGCTTCAGAGTTAATGTCCAGAGTTTGTGATCACTTGGTTACTAGTGGACTTGGAAGCGCCAACATCTCGGATATGAAATTATGGAGTCAATATGAGAAGGGTGTTGCTCCCTTTGGACGTCTGTGGCTAGACTACAACAGGATGAGTCAAAATATGAGGAGATGTGTGTCCTTCTGTGCAACCTTGCCCCCCAACTCTGTTCTTGACAAAAGGAGTTGATCGACCTTTGGATGGCTCAAGGTCTACTGCAGGAGTCAGGCCAATTAAAAGACAGTGTGGAATTTGATCCTGATGATCATTTCCGTTTGTTAGCTTCTCAATCCATCTTCAAAGATGTGGAAGAGAGTGAAGATCTGTTTGGAAGGAAACTTACTTTCAAGATACATAAGTTGATTCATCAATTTGCAAGCTTCATTGGTAAGGAAGAATCAGTCTGTGAAATTGTTAAGAATCCCGGTCCTGGTGAAGGGCAGACATGAAGCAAGCTACCACTCCAAAGATCAAGCAAGGTAAGATACCTTCGTCTAGTCATCTCTGGAACAGAATTCCCAGACGTTTCCCATAGGGAAGAGTTGCGTAGCTTGGTGGTTCAAGTGATCGATCCCTCACCTGGTGACCTCCTCAACCCAGCCACTTTGTCCAAATTGCTCACGCACTTGATACGCCTCCGGTCCCTCGCTGTTAGCAACTGTGGGGTTTAGAACATTCCAAACATTGTAAGTGACCTTATTCATCTGAGGTTGCTGGACGTGTCAAGGAATAGAAACTTGACCGAGTTGCCGGAAGAGATCTGCAGCTTGTACCACCTAGAAACACTAAGTGTCGACTGGTGTACCGAGCTGGTCAATCTGCCTGAGCGTATGTGCCAACTAGTGAACCTCACGAACTTCTACAACTATATGACGAGAGCGTATCTTCCTCGAGGAGTCAAGCAGTTGAGCAAGCTTAGGAGATTGTCGATGTTTACTGTGGGAGATGATGGGCAAGAAGGGATGACAAGCCTTGATGACTTGAAGGTATGTTTGGGTAAAATTGATGGGTTCTTATGCATTAATCAGTTCAGACGTGCAAGAGATTTGGGAAAGGCGAGGGAGTTGTTGTTTCAAAGTAACATTAAATGTTTAGAAATAAGATTTGGTGAAAAGGGAGATCGAGTAGTGGATGATGCTATGGTGTCACGTGACGAGGAGTTGTTGAGCTACTTGAATCCTTACCAGGAGCTCGAAGGGTTGCGTGTCATTGGCTATTATGGGACCATAACGCCCTCATGGTTCGATCTCCTTGGTTCTTTAAGAAGTATAATCTTTTCTGATAGTCCACTGTGGGTGGAGTTGCCCGTGCTTGGCCATTTGCAGCATTTGGAACTTGTAGAGTTCAGAGGGATGAAGGATGTGACAGTTTTGGATATGAGTTTTTTGGGAACGACAGTGGCGATAGATGGTGCGTTTCCAGCATTGAAAAAGCTGGTGTTTGTCGCCATGCAGGCTTGGGTGAGGTGGACTGAGGATGTACTAGATGTTGTTGTTGCTGATAGGGTCCTGCCTTGTCTCAAGGAACTAGAAATTGCCGCGTGCAACAACCTGCTGAGGATTCCAGAAAGAATTAGACAGAAGATTCAGCAGGGAATGATTCTTGCAAGTGGCTCATTTTTCGAGCAAAATCCCCATCTTTTCTAGTTGGCAGTACGAAGGTATTGAAATATCTTCTCTATTAGGCTCCATTTTGTTTGATTTTGCTGTCATTTGATTTGAAATTTTGAATCAGGTTTGGTGGACAGCAAGGGCACAACAAGAGAAAATGCCCGCAACCTCCTAGACAACAACAAGATGTTGGGGTGAGACTTTTGCTTCATTGCTTGACTTATTTGATATGGATAATAGTATCTTGACAAGGGTTTTTTGTGGATTCTTATTGTAGGCTTCTAGAAGTGGACGAGGTCAGCCAGTACGAGGTAGAAGAGGGGGTTGTGGTCAAGGTGGACGAGGAGAACGAGGTGGAGAGACTACTATGATTATTGAACATTTGAACAGGCTGAAGTTGGTGGATATCAACCTACTGCAATCCAACCATCAAATATGTAGTAGTTGGTGGTGTCTGATGCTAAGTAGGAGTAGACATAGTAGTACTTGCCTTAATGTAGTAGTTGTAGTAGTTGACGGATGATAGTGAAGAACAAGAAGCTGCATTTCTCTTTTGACAACACCCTTATTGGCTGCATTTCTCTTTTGATAGCATCTCTGTTTGCTGCAATTCTATTGCAGCATCCTTGTTGGTTGTATAATCAGGAGGATGATGATTATTTTGGTAATATCAGGTTTATTGTTATGTTGGTTGAATCAAGTTGTTTATTTTGACAGCAAACTCCTTGCTTTTAGGTCATAATCAAGTCACAATGACAGCACCCTTACATACAGCTTTTGGCGATAACCGAAATGAGCCGATGAAGTCTGTCGCATGGATACAATGACATATATCAAATACTTCTCATTTGGATTAACTCGAGTAATCTTATTATATGTCCCGAAGAGACAATCAACGAAAGAACTACGAATAATAAGTAGACGAACAACAACAAGAAAGAGCCTGATTGAATCCAAACATAAAAGTTCAAAAGGAAACCGATAACAAAGAGATCTAACCATTCATTCATTCAAAGGCTAGAAATCCTAGGGTTAGGACATGCGAACGCAAGGAAGCTCGGATCGCGCTCAAGAACATCCATCCGCTTCTGGTCCAAAGTGACCCAGGCCTCAATGCTTCCTCTCCCGTCCGTCGAGTCCACAAACACCGTCAGGTTCCGAAAAGCCCGGCCCACTTTCCCCATCACCGTCACCCAAACCGGTTTCCCCCACCCGAAATCCTGACCCGTAAACCCGAATCCGCACCAGCTCGTAAAGCGAATATATCCGGCTTCTCCGCTTCAAACATCCCTTCGAGCTGCTCGAAGTAACCCGACATCGCCTCAAACCCGTCCTCTCCCTGGAGCGACTCCACGTAATCGCCCCTGTATAACCCAATCGCTTCGCTCAGTAGATTCCCCAGTTCCGACATCTCCGAATCGTCGTGCGGGTTCGCCGCCGCCGTCGCCCACCAGAACGCGTCCCCGATCGCCGCGTCCGACATCGGGGGGTTCGTAAGCTGCCGGAGATTCACCGCCTCCACCAGAATCGAAGTCTTGGCCGCGGAAGAAACCGCCTTGGACGCCGCCATACAGCATTTCCAGATGAAACAGGACAACGCCTCCACTCTAGACAGCTTCCTGATCCCCTGCATTTCAGCTCCTCCTCCTCCGGCGGCCATGGCTCGCAGCTGTCCGATCGCCTTAGAATCGAACACGAATCTCCTTGTTATGTAATTTTCTTCAGTGAACCAGAGGGTTTCCATCAGATTGAGGTAGTTTTCAGGGGAAGGGTCCCTCGGCGGGAACAGCTTCGACGCCTGTTCGAAATCAGGGGAAATGATGTCGTTTGGTTGGCCGCGGAGAAGGGCAGTGAATGTAGTGAGGAAGGATTTAAACGTGGAGCCGTCTACCAGCTTGTGAGAAGCGGCCCAGGCTAAGGCGACTCCGCCGCAGGTGAAAACAGAGACCTGAAGCTCCAAAACAGGGGAGCCTCTGTTTTTGGGTTCTCGCTGGAAAGGCTGTCGAGAGAGGAGGAAGTTCAGGAGCTCTGTTTCTTTGCGTTTTACGAACTGGGCGAGGCGGCAATCGACTACTCTGGCGAGAGTGAAAGGGAGACCGGCGTTGAAGCTGTCGACGAACAAGTTGCCGGGGCCGGTCCGGCCGGAGAAAGGGTAGTAAATGTTGAGAGCCTCCGCCAGGGAGCGCTTCAGGCGGTGGATGAAGGAATCGGCGGCGAGATTGTTGGTGGTGTCAGGATTTGAGTAGAAGAGAACGAGGGGGGAGAAGGTTAAGGGAGTGAGCTGGTCGAAGAGGCAGAGCTTGTGTGGTGGTTTCGTTTGTACGATTTCAGGGGAAGATGGCTTCACTAGCTCCCTGGAAACGATCCTGACCTCCATTTTTTTTCTTTCTTTTCCGGCGGTTTCTTTCGTCGGAGCAGAAAGTTGCTTTCAGTTTGCTCGCGCCCTTCTTGAAGCTATACTCGTGGCGCATAAAGAGGAAGAAGCCATTGGAATTTAGAAATGGCGATGAGAGGAAGAAGAGAGTAAGAACATGTAGTGGGTATTATTATGGTACTTGCAGGGATTTGATGGGTGCTGTTGGGGAAAACGGGAAGAGTAAATGACTATGTACTGACTAGTAGCTAACACGGCCTCTTGTTAATGGAATGAATTCAATGCGATGGATATTGGAGCTCTTGAGCGGTCGGGGAATTTCCGGCTAAGAAAGATGACTTTACAGCGGACTTTCAGGCCATATCGACGGCCGGAAAACAAGGCTCGGTAGCTGGCTGATACAGAGACATCGCCGACGGACCTTTGGACAAAATTGTGAAAGGCATTTATGAGGTAGGCTAGGATAGAATAAATCGATCGTTGGATGGAAGCTTTTGGTGTATTGCATTTTCAGCTTTCATTCTCTCTCTTGTGGACTGCTTCCATTGCATAGTTATGGATTTGGCTGGGTTTTAATTACAGGTTGTTATTTGTCCGCCCGTATATTTACTATTTGCCACTTATAATTTTAGTAAAAATGTCATTTTTACTCCTCGTTTATTTTTTTATAACACAAATCCTCATTCGCATTTCGCCACTAGCATACCACCACCGCTGCCGCCGCCACACCACCACCGTCGCTGCCAGATCCCGTCCCGTCGGGCGTATGCCGTTGGCAGATATCGACGGGCGGACGCGGTCCGATCTAGACGGGCGGACCCCGTCCGATCTCGGCGGGTGGACCCCGCATTAAGCGACGGTTTCAAAACCATCACAAAAGCTTGTCGCTAAATGATAATAGTTTTTTTTTAAGGCAGTGTTGAAAAGATAGTCACAAAGAGGAAAAAGAAAAACGCGGGAGTTGACCAATAGTTATTTAACTCGACCTTCTGTTTTTTAATTATAATATTATGTTAATAATTATATCTATGTTTATTAATTATATTTATGAATTAGAAAATCATAAATTATGCATAAGAAAAAAATTATAAAAAATATTGTACAAATTAATTCATACTTATTTTTAATTATGTAAATAGAGCTAAAATAAATTAATTAATTATTATAGCAATTAAATAATTATAGTATGTTAAATAATTATAAATTATTTGAAGTAATGTATAAGAGAATGGATATTTAATCATAAATATTGTATAAACTTATGAATAATTCATTTTCATTATGTAGAATAGTTACAAAATATTTATAAATTTAGATTAAACCTTTTTAATTGTATTTATTTCATAGTTAATTAGATCATCGTCCCTAAACTATGTTTTATAAAACTTCCAAGGAATTGAGGCACAAAGAGGACTCTTTGCGGCTTATGGAATGTTGGGCAAAAACATCTTTTAGCAATTACTACAGTCACCGACATGAAAATTTATTGAAACTTTCATCGATCTCTTAAAATGTGGATACAAATGTGTTGGAATCGATTGTTTCTCAATCGGACATTCCCGACAAAAAGAGATTAATCGTGCCAAAACTTCCATCGAGGTGTTTTTATGGCTCTGGGGGTGGTAACTAGGAGTTTCTTGAGCCTATCACGTATATTTCCACGATGCGAAATCTTATTGTTAGTGGAGGCAGAGATGATTTTCCCTCTAAAATAATGGCATTGTAGGATTGGATGGATCAATGTTGAAGGTATCTATTCAAGGGGAATGAGGGTTTAGGGTTTCGGAGGAGTATAAGGTATAGGAGTTGGATGAGATGCTTTCCTTCTTTATTGTCATTATTGGTCCGCTTGAGTCGAGTTGATTCTTATTGTTGTTATCCATCATCTTGGGTGAGATTATTTCAACTGTGGTCAAACCCTAATCCGGGTCAAACCCTTCTTTTTGGATCTGTTGGTTAAATGTGGGTGGGATATTAAATTGAGTGTAATTAGGGAACTATTGTTAGACATGGGAGGAAGTTTTTTAGGTAGTTATTTAGTAGTTAACTATAGTTAGACATGTTCTAGGACCACATCCGCCGCCAGAATTCGGACCCCGTTCGCGTCCGGCGGTCGGACCCTGACTGTCCACGATGTTTAGCTTCTCGCTCCTTCCTCTACGTCGGCGACGACAGCACCCGCGGAGAGCACCTTCCTCTTCAACGTCGGGGAATTTGGGAGGGGAGGGAGTGAGGCCGGACGAATGGAGGGGTCGGCAGTGGAAGCAACGGTGAAGGGGTCAGAGGAATGAAGTGGTCGGCGGCGGCTATTGTGGGAGGAGGGAGGAGGTTGTGAGGGGATGGATTAGATAGAATTAGGGTTAGTTGGTGAAAGGGCAAAATCGTCTTATATTTTAGAACTATGGGTGGAAATAGTAAATACTAGTGTGGCAAATAGCGATTCATTTTAATAATGTCTGTTAGGACTGTCATTAGTCTTTACTTTTCTTGTTTCTATTTTCTTAGTCATAAAATGTCAATTACTTCTCGTATTCGATAAGACTTCTTGTATTCGATAAGAATGGAAGTAGTACAATGATGTGGTAAGCGATAGTAATTTTATCTTATTTGTGAGTCCAAAATGTGTTTGAGAATGCGTTTAAAAATTGTATGCGCCCATTAATTTTCGCATCATGAGACGAGTTTTCATACCCATGAGGCCATGACTGGATTTTAGCCTTAGGGATGAGTTTTCACTCCCCTGGTGGGGGCTTCACCTCGAGGGTGTGATTCATTCTCCATGGACTCATGGAGGGAGTTTCGCCTTAGGAAGTGGGATTCATTCTCATGGTGAGTGCTTCGCCTCGCGGACGGGATTTCATTCCCGTAGTGGGAGTTTCGCCTTAGGAGGGGCGAGTTTCTTTATTGTTGAATTACCGTGCCGTTGCTAGACAAACTGATTGATAGTTTTAACTCAATGCGAGTGTATCATTAATTTCCTAGTAGCATGGTAGCCATACTCCCATCGTCCACATGAAATTTGAGGTATATTTGTGAATTGTGATGAAATTACTTAACTCGAGTGGAAATGGGAAAGGTAGAGAAAGTTGTTACGAGAAGCGGGAGAAGTTAACCTTTTAACCTAAGAACCCAAATCCCTTCTCTCAAATCGCTAAATTTTTAGAAGATTTTCACATCTCCTCGGGGCAGAGGAACCAACAACCGTCACATGAGATTGCTAGTTGGTATGATGGATTGATGGTTGTGGCTATTTTGTTTCAGAGTTATGATTGAATTAGAGTCGAACCAATTTTCTTTCAAATCGAAATCAAGTCATTATAAAGAACATTTAGGTTTATTTTAATTTTAATTGAGTTGGTTTGAACGTAATGGATACCCACCTCTAATCCAAGAGCTTTGTTTCATTGGTTTAAAGAAAATGAGAGAGGTAACAATGGAGTACTAGGGCCAGATTCTTAGAAGAAGCCAGTGTTGAAACTATCCATGAACAAGTTACACGGTCCAGTACGACCCAACAATGGGCGGTAAATGCCAACCGTGACCACCCGTTCAACGGATGGCAAGTTAAGAATGGATCTGGAGCGTGCTCTGCTCGAAAAACAAATGAGACAAGAACGGGTGGACCGGACGCCAGCTCCCAAGTGGGTTGGACGGCAGATAGTTGCGCCTGGAGCTTGTTCGCAGTTCGTTTATTTTGTTAGTTGTTTGTTCGATTGTTCGGTGAGCACTAACCGCAAAAAAAAAAGACCGATTCTGCTAATCATGACCATATAAGATGCTTTTTAGACGACTGCTACCTAATCGCGATTATTTAGTTGCGGTTACGGTGTAAACCGAAAAACTGTAACTGTATTCCCACCCCCTAACTTCACTAGCTCCCCTGGAAACCAAACTAAATGCAATGTAGCATGCATAACATTGGTAACAGTACCATATGAGCACGTCTTCACAGGCTTGAGATGATCGGATTCGGATTGGCAAAAGCCAAGAACTCAGGATCCCGCTCGAAAACCTTCATCCTCTGTTCCTCCAGCGTTATCCAAGCCTCCATCTTCCCCCCACCGTCCACCGAATCCACCAGCACCGTCAAATTCCTGAACCCGGGGCTGGGCCGGCCCATCACCGCCACCCACTTCGGGTCGCCCCACCCGAAATCCTGACCCGTAACCCCGAACCCGTTCCAGCTCGTGAACGCCAGAATGTCCGGCGTCTCCGCCTCGAACAGCCCTTCCAGCTGCTCGAAGAACCCGGACAAAGCTTCAAACCCTTCTTCCCCCTGAAGCGATTTCACGTACTCGCTCCTGTACAGCTCAATCGCTCCCCTAAGATTCTCCGCCAGCTCCGGCAGGTCAACGGCGCTCGATTCGTCCGCACACGCCGTTGCCAGCCAGAACACGTTCCCGATCGTGTCGCCGCCGACGAGCGGCGGGTCCGTCACGTCCCGCAGGTTCACCGCCTCGACGAGAATCGAGGTCCTGGGTTTGCCGCCGGAGATTGATCTGGCAGCCGCCATGCTCGATTTCCATATGAGGCAGGACACCGCCTCCACTCTCGACAGCTTGATTTTTTTCTTCCCCTGTTCTTGCTCTGTTTTTCCCCCCGCCGCCGATGCTTCGGCTCTCAGCTTGGAAATCGACTCGGAATCGAAAACGAATCGCCGGGTGACGTAGTTTCCTTCTATAAACCAGAGGGTTTCCATCAGATTGCGGTAATTTTCCGGGAAAGCCTCCCTTGGCGGGAACAGCTCCGCCGCCCGGCCGAAACAGGGCGGGGCGGCAGAGAGGAGCTCCGCCTTCTCCCGGCCGCCGCGGGAGACGGCGGAGAAGGCCTTGAGGAAGGATATCATAGTGAATCCGTCGATCAATTTGTGTGAAGCGGCCCATCCCAGGGCGATTCCGCCGCAGGCGAAAACAGAGACCTGCATCTCCAAAACAGGGGAGTCGAATTCGACGCTTTCTCGACGGAAGGGAGCTCGAGGGAGGAGGCAGTTGAGGTTTTCCGGTTCACGGCGTTTGAGGAAATCGGAAAGGCGGCAGCTTTCGACCTTGACATGGATGAACGGGATGCCTTCCCCGAACCTGTCGATGAGCAAATTGCCCGAATTCGTCCTGCCGGAGAAAGGGTAGTAGACGGTCAGAGTCTCGGCAAGAGAGCGCTTCAGGTGGGCGATGAAGCGATCGGTGGATCGGAGATTTGGGGTTTCAGGGTTGGCGTAGAAGAGGATGAGTGGTGTGTAGGTTAAGGGGAAGAGCTGGTCGAAGAGGCAGAGCTTGTGTGGAGGTTTTGCTTTTACGGTTTCAGGGGAAGATGGCTTCACTAGCTCCCTGGACACGATTCTGACCTCCATTTCTGATACTTCTTTTTTCTTTTTCTTCTGGTAATGGCATGAATTGTTGCTTACTGGCTCTGGCTGGTGATGGCGATGGCCTTCTCGGGGTTCTTATAGATGCTGTGTTTTTGCAATGAATTACCTGTTGTTGGGTAGCTAATGAAAGGCTGCAGAGATCGTATTCCATTTTGGAGACGTCAGCTTCTCTGCTTATGTTCAGTTTCCAACGTGTTTCTCTGTTGGTTTTTTTTTTTTAATATATTGCATTAACATAAAAGACTATATAACATTTGCTATATTAGAAGAAATTGTGATCGATGTTGTTTGGAGTTCGATTGAGGACGAAGGAGAGACGATAACATCTTTGGAACAGGTCACACGAAAGAAAACACTGAAGTTGATTCGACTCGTCATTATTCATGACTTATCTTCACCTCTTCTGTGTAGAGAAGCGATGGCTGCTAGTTCCAACCAGCGGCGGATCTAGGGGGGCCGTCCCCTGGCCACGGTCCAGCCCTCCCCGGATACAAAGCTCGTATAGTACTTGTAAATTTTCGATTTTGGATATATATTCAGTGTTTATTGGGTTACGACTCAGCCCTCTCCATCGCTTTTTAAATGCGGTTCAGTGCTCTAACCTGTTCTGGATCCGCCGTTGGTTCCAACCGAATACCGATCGATTAACTTAGTTGTATGCAATGTCTCCATGGCGGCGGGGACCGTTTTGGATAGACCTACATTAATATTGCACATTATATATCATTCAATCTTTTTTCTGGGTTATCTTGATCTTGATTTGCGTGCTGTAATGGGGGTAAAAGGACTTTGTGATGACTAAATTTTGGTTACCACTACTGCTGCCAAGAAATATGCAGAAAGCTGGGAGCTGTAACTTCAATTTACTTGTTTCATTGTTTAACCTTGGAAGGAAGGGGTGGTCTGGTTTTAAATTTATGCTGGAAAAAAACTGGTAAAGGAAACTCAAATTACCTATGAATCCAGCCAGCTGCATGATTTTGAAGGGTAGCGATTGCGACCAAAGCAAATTCTGACAGTAGACTTTAGGCCATGAATCAAGCAGCTCAATTTTGAAAGTTGGACTGGCTTCTTGCTCGTGACTAAATGAGGCATAGCAGCAGAACCAGTGATATTAAACTGCATGGGTCTGCAGATCATGTCTAGTCTAGGGAATCACCACAATGAATTGAATTGCCATGTGAAGGGGAAAAGGAGTATGGGTTGCTTACTTTTATAGATATCTTTTTTTTGTACGTAGTATGTTGGTTCAAAGTAGGACAGACAATACAATCACTGTTTAAAGATTAGTTCAATTTTTTTTAATGTAATTCACTGAGCATATATGAAATCGTCACCACATCTTTAATTACGAGTTGTCACTTGAACTGATCTTCACGTATGGACTTCGGTCCTTGTAAAACAACCAAATCATAACCACTAAATTTTACCAGCATATCTATCTTTTAGTTCTACTACCAATAAGTAACAAATCGTTACGGTATAAATAGAATCTCATCCATCCCTCTTTAACCTCATAAGGAAATAAATTAGTACTATTCTAAAACCCCATTACAAAAAAAATGTTTGAAAGTTTGACTAATAATTAGTGTATAGTTTTTTTTTTGGCAATGTCTATTTTTTACCCAAACCTTTTTCAGATTCTTTTATTTTAACCAAACCTATAAAAATTTTATTTATTATCCAAACGTATTATAATTTATCAAAGTCTGGGCATTCATTCTGTTACCGTTACTTATTTCGTCCACGTGAGGGGTGAGATTTTGTTTTGTTTTTTGATAATCTTTTTATTAAAAATAGTAAATGATGGTATTCTGACCGCCACGTAGGAAGTCAACTCATTATGGTCATACTTAGTCAGCATTACTAACAGAAAAGTTGACGGAGAGTTAACGTTTGGATAATTTTTAGGAATTCAATAGGTTTGGTTAAAATAAAAGAATCTGAAAAAAGTTTGGGTAAAAAATAGACATTGTCCTTTTTTTTTTTTTTTTTTGAAATCATCGATTATTTGTGGGCCTTAATCTTGAAACCTTCTTTCGAGGAGCAGAGATGGGTTTGAACTTTGGACCGAGGAAGACAGCAAAAGCCCAGGCCCAACAATGCCCTCATTAAAAAGGGGGAAAAACAAGTAACCAAATTACAAACTCGGGTCAGTAAACCACATACATGAAAACCAAATTGAGTCAAAGTCTCGAGATGATCGGAAGGGTGGATAAGTGGGTGATTATTTACGGATTAATATCGATCCACCCGTAAATAACCCCACTTACAAGTAGTGAGTGATTGATATGGGTGGATTGTGGATTGATAAATCTCTCACCCGCGCTTATGTGGGTGGGTGGTGGGTGGATTGCAGGTCACTCGAATGACCCACATCCTATTAGTATTTTCACATGAAAAAATATATTGAATATTCATCATATTTCCTAACCACAGACCATATACTTTTAAAGGTGGAGAATAAATAAATAGTTTTGACAATATTATTGATTATTGTATTGTTTAATATCTGCGAATATTCTTAATATCCATTAAATATTGGAATGAAAAAAATTAATTATTAATTTATCAAAATCAGAAAATGCGTATAAGTTTCTCTATACAATTGGTTGATAGAGTAGTATTTTTGTTTATACAAATACTACATGGATTCACTTGAGACAAAGTGAGAAGTGTCTAAACTGATGGAGAATTCCTAATTTGCTATGAACTTATTATAAATGTAAGTCAACTTATTTAATAGCTTGTTGGAGAATTGTTTTTGCAGATCAACCCACGATCCAACCACACACATCTGCCACCACTCAACCCGACCTGTAAAAGAATATGGATAAATTACCAATGTAGTTATGCTGCTCACAGGCCATACTCACACGGTGGATTTGTTGTCCACGTGGGCAAGGGTAAGCTGGCTCTTGATTTGGGTAGAGGAAGGTGAGCCGGTTTGGGTCGGCTGGTCGAGCCCAGGGCTGACCAAGCCCACCGGGCCCACAATTCAAAAATCAAACCCCCAATTCCCCTCTCTCCCCCACTTCGACTTCCCTGTTGCCTCTCCCCCACTTCGACTTCCCCTCTCTCTCACTTCCCCTCTCCTCTCACGAAACCGACGAAGAACAAATATTTAGCGGCAGCGAGCGAGCGAAGCGGCGGCGAGGGACCAGCGGTGCGGCGGCGAGCGAGCGAAGCGGCGGCGAGTGACCAGCGGTGCGGCGGCGAGCGAGCGAAGCGGCGGCGAGTGGTGCGGCGAGCGAAGCGGCGGCGAGTTCCTGCGGCGGCGAGCGAACCGGCGGCGACCGAAGCGGGATTTCAGCGGCGACGAAGGGCGGGATTTGGACTAAGGTAACTGTCTTTGTTCATGGATATTCATTTTCTCTTCGACAAATTTGAGTTAGGGTTTCATGGCTACGACTTGATCTGGGTTTTCCTTTTGTGGATTTGTCTTCATGGATATTTATTTTCGTTTGGATAGATTTGAGTTAGGGTTTCATGGCTACGATCGGTTTTTCCATTTGTGGATTTGTCTTTTGGGTTCGTGGGTCAAATATTTATTTTGTGGTAATTTATATGTGTCACTGGATATGCGTTCGTTATTCTGTGGATGTTATATATTGGTTTTGTGGATTTCCTTTGTGTTCATTCCGATATTTGTTCTGTTCAGCAAGATATGCATTCTGTTCTTCTGGATATTTGTTGTTTATTGCCTGGGTTGTTGTTTGATGTATCTTGATATCAGTTTTGTCAAATATTTATTTTGTGGTAATTTATATGTGTCACTGGATATGAGTTCGTTATTCTGTGGATGTTATATCTTGGTTTTGTGGATTTGCTTTGTGTTCATTCCGATATTTGTTCTGTTCAGCAAGATATGCATTCTGTTCTTCTGGATATTTGTTGTTTATTGCCTGGGTTGTTGTTTGATGTATCTTGATATCAGTTTTGACTTTCTTGGATAGTTATTTGATAGGATCTGGGTATTTGTATGTGCAGGGATTTATCAATGGCAAGGACTAAAACAACAAAGAGGTAACAGCGACCGACTCCACGACAGCCACCACCACCGCCACAGCCAGAGGAAAATGAGGAAGAAGAAAATGTTGAAGTCGAAGTAGAAGAACGTGCAGAAAAAGATGCTGAAGTTGAAGCGAGTGGAGCTGCAGAAGAAGAAGCTGAAGAAGAAGCTGAAGCTGAAGCTGAAGGAGCTGCACAAGGAGCAGGTCGAGGTAAAAGCAAGGCGAGGTACAGATTTCGGTGCACTATAAATCTCTGGATATACATTGTGTATTGCTTGGATTGTTTCTTTGATATTTCTGGATATTGGTTTTTGTTCAGCTTCATTTCAGTTGTGAATTGCTGGATATTGGTTTTCCATCAGCTTGATATTTGTTGTTATTTTCCTGGATAATTTTCCGATATATTTGGATATTGGTTTTTTGACAGCATGATATCTGTTGTTGTTTGCCTGGATAATTGTTCGATAAAGCTAGATATTGGTTTGTGAACAACATGATATCAGTTGTGTCTTTCCTGGATAATTGTTTGATCCTTTTGGATATTTATTTTTTACCAGCATGATATCTGTTGTGATTTGCTTGGATAACTGTTTGATATATCTGGATATTTGTTTGTGATCAGCATGATATTAGTTGTGGCTTTCCTGGATAATTGTTTGATACATTTGGATATATTTTTTCACCACCATGATATCTGTTGTGACTTGCTTGGATAATTATAACCAATATCTGGATATTGGTTTGTTATCATCCTGATATTAGTTGTGGCTTTCCTGGATAATTTTTTGATACATTTGGATATTGGTTTTGTACCAGCATGATATCTGTTGCTACTTGCCTGGATAATTGTTTGATATATTTTGGATATTTGTCCGTGCAGGGATAAAACGAACGTGAAGAGACAGCGATCACGACAGCCATCACCACCGCCACAGGCAGAGGAGGATGAGGAAGAAGAAGAAGATGCTG